AAGGAACCCATTACCCGACGAATCCCGAACAGGATCTTGCAGGAGTTTGTGCAAAAGTTTCCGAAAAGAAAATAATATATAACGCACATGCATATATACAATAGTATACACACAACCGGAAGTTTCGACGCGGTCGGCGACGGCCACACTCGTCGTCTTTTCGGGTTGTCTACCTATACCTATATATATGTATAACCCGGAAAGAAATCAATTAAACTCGAGAAGAATCTTAACCCTGCAGACGGCGCCCTCGYCTCGCTTCCGGCATAGTAGATGTYGAGCTCGAGGGTTGTTCGTGCACGCGTACATACATACCGCAGGATACCGCGTGGCGTGATGGTATATACCTACACACATCACTCGGCCTCAATCAACATTCCTCGGATTAGTTTTAAAGCGACCAAATTACTCGCGCGGCACTCGACCGGGTTAGGTTAGGCGCTAGGGTGGARGGGTGTGGAGGGAGTGTGGGAGAGCCGAAGAGTAAATCGGAAAAAAAAACTTGCGCTCTGTTTTGGCCCGTGCTCGGCGAGACACGCCGGCGACGACGTATCGTCACTCGTTCGCCGTACCGCAGCGGAAGTAGGCAATCGGATGTACATATTAAATATTATTACAGCTAGGTATCCTTCAAGACGATAAGTAATAAAACGATCCAGATGCGAACACAAATGACTGGAACGAATATTATAAAAAACCGATAACGTATTAGGCATACCTAATAGTAATAACAACTAATAACTACTGAGCATTTGTATATGTGTACGAAAAAGTCTAAAAAAGTATCTAAACATGCCGTACATATACATATATGATATATGGGTAATATGCAAGAAAATGTATTGTTTAAAATTTAAAATGTACAAATCAAACCACTTGTAATAATAAATTATTTAATTACTTGATAAACAAACAATTTAGGGAATTTTCCGAGCATATTTAAAAAATTTTCGGTAGACTCATAATAACGTTTATTGTACCTAATCGATTACATTTTATTTCATCTTTATTTCAGTTATAATTTAATGCCAACTTGACAAAGGATTATTTTATACATTTTTTTTTTTAATTTTTAATATTATGCAATACATTTCGAATTTTGCAAAAAATATGCAAAAATACGCAATTGCCATCTTTAAATAATATCATCCATTCCGAGTTAGCACAACATTAAATAGCATTCTTTAATACTAGGCGGTTATACTTACCAAGTCTATTTAATTAAAAAAAACTTTTGACGAGATTCAAAAAATAACAAGTAGCTAGTAAATAGTAATGATAACTATAAATAACACTTATTTTGGTCTTTACTTATTTGATAACAAAATATTATTTATGGTGCATTTGATATTTAAAAGAATTTTCTATTTTACTTGTCAGGTACTCATTACGTTTTGTTATCTATATGCACTTTTTTACCACATATTATAATAGCATATATGGCACAGAATTGTAATCGATTTTAAATATTTTTTTCAAATACAATAGACATCATTTATGTTATAAAATAATCAAAAACCTTTGTGTGTTTGAAATTAGAACATTTAATATTTTTATTCGTAAGGGGATTAGCTGTTGATGATAAAATTAAACAATTTCATTTAGATATTAATTTTTGGTTATTCTGAATAACCGAACTCTTCAAATATTTTATCGAACTCGAACCGAACATCAAAAATGTCAAAATTATAAAATTSTAAAAATAAAATTATTGATATTTAATATTTATTTTTTTTATTTGTTCTAGTCGAATTATCGAACCGAACTATTAGGTATTTGATTCAGTTCGATTATTTTAAATTTCCAGTTCGAAAATCAAACAGTCCGTAACATCTCTAGTTGACAAGAAGTCTCGTCACTTTTTYAATGATCGGGAGGACTTTAGTGCCACATAACTAACAACCTGTGTACCTAATTTTTGCGGTGAGGGGGGGGCGAATAGGATATTTGGGGACAAGCATCTCCCCCACACCACTTCCCAACAGATTTCTTCCGACGGATAAAATACCTCTTGATGGATTGGGACGTGGGTTTTTTCCAAATTATGTCGAATATCAGATATTTTAATAATATATTGTACGAAAAAATGGATTTTGAAAAGAGCGGTAAACGAGACGTGTTTCGCACATGACCGACCGTGGTAGCGGTATGTGAGAGTGCAACAACCGCTCCGAATGACGTGATAAGACGTCATCAAAAATATGATATCACAATAAGTAGAAATTTATTGATAATAAATATACAATATCAGGCAGAAGCTGCAGCTGTCTATTATTATTTATTAATTTCTGAATAATAATATTATGCAAGTCCAGTGCAGTACTTTCACAGGTTCTATAACGTGTCGAGTACGAAAATCGTTTACACAATATTTACTTAAAGTGTAAGATTCGGCAGGTTTTCAAGACAAACTGTTGTCTCTCAAACCAATCGGTGGTGATTTAATGTTGGTCTGAAATAAACCTTAAGCGCAGAGATAGCTTTGCAGCGATCATGTCCAAGATATCCATTTTGAATTCCGTATATTCGGAAATCGAAAAATTGGACTCGGCCGAAGAATACAAAAGAATCATTAAACTCGTCGAGAAACGTGAGTAGTCATCGTAATASATTTTTATTTTATTTTAATTATCGTTGTTCTCAGATATACCACAGTTTCCCGAAGAGTTGTCGTTGGTTCAAACAAAAGTCGTGTGCCTTATCCATCTGAACCAGATCGAAGACGCATATAACTACATACTGAAAAATGAAGCGTCACAGTAAATAGTTTACAATTTTCACACATCTAAATTCTTTATCGAGTGTTATAATTTTCTAGAAAATTTACGTTTGAAAAAGCTTATTGCTTGTATCGTTTGAACCGCTCTGAAGAATCATTAGAACTGATTAATGAAGAACCTAACCCTGCACCCAGTTTCAAGGAGTTAAAAGCTCAAATTCTGTATAAGTTGGAAAGGTAAGATATTTTATGTTTAGCTTATGCTCATGATAAACACTTAATGGTATACTATGAAAAAATATATTTAAGCTATCTGTGACTTTATCGAAAAAATCGGAGCACACTAAAGAAAAGACCAGTTCACTATCTAAAACCAGTTTTTTTCCATAATAACTGGTCATGCTTTTAATATGTGTAGAATGTCCATAAGTTATATATTTTGTAATTTAAATTATATTGTTCTTAATAATTTTAGGTATAATGAATGTTTTGACRTGTATCGAGATATCATCAAACAGAGTAAAGACAGTTTTACAAATGAAAGGGAATCAAATCTTACAGCTGTCATTTCTCAACTTTCTAAGTTAGGAGATGTAAGTTGCTTAGTTAATTATATGAATTAGTAGGTACTCAGTTCAAAATAATTAATTTTTTATCTTTTTTATAGAACAAATATGACATTCCAACGGTTAAACAGCACAACACTTATGAATTTATGTATAATGTTGCCTGTGTACTAATCGAAAGAAAAGAGATTGAAAAAGCTCAAGATTTACTTGATCAGGCTGCCAAATCATGTAGAAATACATTGGAAGAGGAGGAAGCGACAGAAGAAGAAATTCAAGAAGAGCTAACAGCTATTAAGTAATTATATTTTGAATTTGCTATTTCATAATGTCATGTATGTCACATTTAATTTGTAAAATTGTTTTTTCATRAAAAAGACACTACATAAACTTCTTCTACATTATGTAGTTACATACATGAATTTGTTACACATTTTCTGTGTAACCTTTAAATTTAATTAAGTATTTCAATAATTTACCACTTAGATGTTGAAACTATGTACAAATTACAAATTTATTATTCAAACTTAGATACTATTTCAAAATATAATTTAATTATGACAGTGTTCATATGTAAAAAGAGTAATGAAGTAAGTACATTATTTGGAGATGACAAAAGTAAAAATAAGATTTTTTTTWAAGTTTATAATATAACTTTGATTTCTAAGTAATAAATATAATTTTTCAATACTTTTATACTTAAATTAGATTTATATCTCCTAAAAATAGACATCAATATAACTAATTAAATTTTACAATTTTATTACTATATTATATAATATGTTAGAAATAAATAATTACAGTTTGTTTTTTGCTCTTCATAAAATTAATATGTTACCAGTAAATTATAAATGTATCTGTTTTCATTTCAATACAATTTGTAAATATATATTTTAACATAATTAGTTTAATAGTATTAGTAAAATAGATTTTTACTTGACATAAACTAATCCATTATCTTTCAGAGTACAAGGGGCTTATTGCTTACAAAAATTAGGCCGTGACAAAGAAGCACAATCTGAATACACTGACGTATTAAAGTACAAGCCAAAAGATATTGGATCTCTAGCCATTGCTTCAAACAATTTGGTAGTATTAAATCGGGAACACAATGTGTTTGATTCAAAAAAAAAACTCAAGTCAACATTGTCTGACGAATTAACTCACAAGTTGAATACCTGGCAGTTGAAAAAAGTCATGTTAAACCATTGTCGTTTTGCATTAATCACTAATCAAGTAATAAATTGAGTAGTAATCACATAGATATGTGAAATATATTATATTTTAAACCATTGATTATAAATTTATAATCAATGTTTAAACTATAGATATTTTATTTATTTATTTATTTTTAGTTAGACCAGTGTACTCAATTGTGTAACAACATTGAAAAGAAATATCCTGATCTAATTGAGGATATTATACTAATAAAAGCAGTAATGTTATGGCGTCAAAACAAAAATTCTGAAGCTATTGATATATTGAAGAAGTTTATATATAAACAAGAAAATCCCACTGCTAAACTCAATTGTACTTTGGTGGCTGTAAAATTATTATTATTAGAGGTATAAAGTTTAAATATTGATATCAGAATTTAAAACTAACCAATGTAAATTTTTTTATTTCATATTTTAATTCTTATTGGTCTATATTTCACTAAGTGTCTTATGATTATTACTAATTGTTCCTTTGTCTTGAAATATTTCAAGTTACTAACTAGACACTTCTGTTGGTTATTCTTTTAAAATAATGTACTACTTTAATATTCATATTATAACTTAATGGGCATWACTATTTCCAATAATATACCTTTTCAAACAGACACAGGCTTCATATCTTTAATATATAACAATTTCTTAACATTTTTTTATTTTTGTTTTATAGAGCTAAGCCAAAATTGTTAATTTAGTTTTTTTTTTTATAAATTTAGTCACATTTCAATCTTTTAGTTCAATAATTTGATTATTGCTTATTTTAAAACTTAAAAATAAAATTTACTCATACAGATATAATGTGACAAACAGTTATTTTGTAGTCAACCTTGTTCAAATTATATTAATATAACCTAAAACACAAAAATGACTGGCAAGTAATAATAAATGTTTTCGATAAGATTTTTTCAATATTTTAGCTAATAAAAGATTATTAGGAAYGATTATTTTTACAAAATTTAAACAGTCATGTTTAAAATTAGAAACAAAGAAGTGGTTGTGATATATTTTTAGTTTTGTGCWGAATATATATCCCATTAACATACTCTTAAAGTAACAGCAGATGGTCATGCTATTATACAAATAATATTATGGTTAYTACTTTTAAAAATATTAAATTATGAATTATATATTTAATTAATATTATTATTAGATAATAAATTATATGTGGTTAACACAGTTATCAATGATAATGATAAGTTGTGAGATAACTTAAAATTATTACTTATCATTTCTTTGAATTCTATGGAGTCTAACATCTTTAAGACCATAACAAAACTAGTTATGCAGTTTAAACMATTAAAAAAGGTAGTCATTTATGATCTACTTATTATAAAATGTTAAGATAATGTCCTTCAATACTTAAGTTTTTTTTATTTTTTAAGAGGATTAATGTTTATATAGTTAAAATAAAAATAAATTTACTCTATAATATAAATATCATAAATATTTTTTTTATTCTAACAAAATTGATTATTTCATGTTACAAAATATTCTTTTATAATGACTACTTACTGATTTTTAATGCTATTATTTTTTTTATTCTAGAACAACACTAATGAAGCGATTACTTTACTGGAAAATCTTGGTGAATTGAAGTATAAACTTGGTATTGTGAGCACACTTGTAACGCTATATTTAAATGTTGACAATTTTAAAGCGGCATCTGACTTATTTAATGACACTTTGTCTTGGTACAGTCAAAAAGAGGTAACATTTTATTATTTTTTATTATTYAATACTCAACACAATTTTTCAAAATGGAATATATAAATTTAAAAATTTAAATATTAAATAGGTGGATAACTCAAAGATAACCATTCTATTGAAACAACTTGCAAAATTACATTTACGGGAACAAGATCCAAAGGAAGCAGCTAAACGTTTGACCCGACTACTTGAATTAAATCCTAATAATAAAAAATTTTTGGCGCAACTTATCATCGCCTACACACAGGTTTGATAAATATTTATTTTTAACTTTTATTAATCATTATAGGTGTCATTGTTCAATAAGAAATTCACAATAAATTTAGTTTTTCTTTTGATTGAAATATAAGTATTTATCACAGTTGTCTTCTGTAYAATATAAAATTATTAAGTAGTCCCCTCCTTGTATTTTCTGTTTCCTCGTGTTAACTTGATGAAAAGGCAGGCGAGAACATAAAATGTCTAACTTTAAAAAAAACTAACTGTGGAAAAATGTTGATACAACAAATGAATAAACAAATTTTAAAAACATTTCACTCAACTTCAATAAATTTACTATGAGAGCGATATATCTCAGTATTTAAGAACATATTTAAAACGTATAAGAAAAAAAAATTGATATATGTTTTTGTAAACAATTATATTACATCAACGTAACATACATTAATATATTATTATATACTATAATAGTGCATATTACGACACATTTGACCAACAATTATATGTTATATTCTTATACTACTACTATTTAATGAGTTAAATGAAAACTCACTTTAAATCATTTTAATATTTTTCATAAACATTTTTATTTAATACCAAATTTGTCATTTTTAAACTAAATTAGATGTTCTATCAATAATTAAAATGTATAAAATACACTCTTTTTCATTATTAACTTGAATAAAAATAACTGCTAATTTTWTTATTTTAACTTTTAAGTTATTACTTATTTCCTTAAGAAATGTACAATGTAATTAATCTTTACTTTTAGTTTGACCCAGAAAAAGCTCAAATGTACAGTAAGCAACTTCCACCATTGGACCTTCAAGATACTGACATAGATTTACTTGAGAATACTAACTGGATGATGGGATCTAAATTAATCAAAAAGTCTACAYTGAAACCAGATTTTGCAGGGTAAYTATTAAGTAGAAACTAATTATCAATCAGCAACAAATTGAAAATACAATTTAACTCAAAAAATTATAATTTTCTTTCAGTTGCGTATTTAATTTATTATTTCTAGGTCCTACTTCACTGGTAGTGAAGTTTCACGCATGTCTCCTCTTGTAGAAGAGGAGTAGTATCATGTATTAAGTGGATATATGTTTGTTTTATTTTATTTATACAAATAAACTATTATCTCTTTTAGAATTAAAGTAACAATACAACAATTTTAGAATAATAGTAGGACAATAAATAACTGATAAATACTATACGTAATACAGTGACAGAGTCAAAAATATTAAACATGATATTAATTTAGTACAGTTAAATTAGTTATATAACAGTATATTTTAATAGTAATTAAAGACAAAAACATTAAAACAGATCAGAATTATCAAATGAAGTGTCTTCATTGACGAGTGAGAATGTACATAGGTCTTAGAAGCTCATTTTGTAAATAATAAGTATGAATAGATCACATGATTTCCCTACAGTCTACTCGAGTTATACATCAACAAAGACATTTAGGTCTTAGTCGTTTCAATGAACAAAATATAGAAAAAGTAAAAGTTCTTCATAGAATTTATTTTATTATCATACTAACAAAGATGATTTAATCTTGTTTTTTTTTTTTATAAAAATAATTATTATTACTAGGGCTCAGATTTTATAACACTAAAAATAAATGGAATATACCCTATAGATATGAAAAATAGCAAAAATTTAAATTTATTCTGTTCACAATTTAAAAATATATTTATATACGACATAATATATATTATATATGTAGTCATTATTGTTTACTATTCGCTGGACTACTTTAAATAGATTTTAATATGAACAACAATGTGGGTATTTAAATTTTTCCTATGGATTCAAACCAAATATAATGAAAATAAATTATACATTTTTATTTTTCCACATAATATTTATGAAAACTTTATTATGCAAATTAGCAAAAAATAGCACCAAAACTTAAATAGCCCTAAAAACCTAAAATATTTCAATCATGTAAAAAATAATATTAAAAAAATTTATATTTGAAATCCACAATGCATTGAACAAAAATATATTCTATTTCTATATCTATTTTTATTTGTATCCTTTAACAATTAAAAAATGCTATAATTAAGTCCTGATTATTACATATAACTACAAAAACAAGTTCTATTAATTTTATATCTATAATACTTGAAAATGATTTAATTGAATCATTGAATTTGATGTTATTAATAAATTTTTGATTTAGGGAACAAGAAAATCAGAAAATTCAATCCTTAGATTATCTAATAGATAAAATGTCCTATCTATGAAACCTTCTGCACTAAATAGTATTCATATAAATTATAATGTATGACAAAAAAATAAAATATTTATCATAACACCACTTACTGCTATATTAATTTACAGTTTTCGCAAACTAATTCACTGGGAATAACTACTTTTTGATCTATACACCATCCGTAGCCATTTTTAAAAATATATTTTATTATTTTATTTGTATTAATGTCTGTCTTATTTATTATACAGTTCCAAGACAGAAGTAGAGAAGAAACGTAAGAAGAAGAGAAAGATTATACTGCCCAAAAATTTCAATCCTGATGTGCCTCCTAATCCTGAACGTTGGTTGCCAAGACACGAACGTACTGGATATCGCAAGAAAAAGGACAGGAGAAGCAAGGAAACAGGCATCGGTAAAGGAACACAAGGGGCCAGCAACGTGTCAAGTGAACAATTGTGAGTATATACTATAATTTGTGTTTAATTGCAACCAACCGTTAATTGGTCACATCACATCACGTCAATTTACACATCAATTACTTTTCAAATCTTAATAAATATTTATGACCATTAGTTGGGCATAATTTATTAGGTACTTATACGCATTAAAAAAGTTTGAAGGCTATCTATAAATATGTTTGAATAGGCAATTATCATATTATAATATTCAGAGTGTCCTGTGAGAATTCACCCATTGCGATATCTCCTGAAATAATGGAGATATCAAAATTCTGGTTTTGTAATAAGACTAACTGGGATAATAACTACTATTATTTCATATTTTAACTTAATTAAATGTATTTTTTTTATTTAATTATTTTCAAACAATTCACTCTAGCCATTTTGTAATTTATTTTCCTGAAAATATTGACAGTCTTAAAATTTTACTTTCGTTAATTTCCGGATTTTTAATTTTATTTAAGTTTTGAGAAATATTTTGAATTATTTAACTCCAAAGTGTTATCAAACATGTAAAACGCCACGCTGCACATGTGTTCGTACAGCCAGCCAAACGTTTTCAGTGCCTAAACTAAATCATATTTTATTTCTTCAAAACTAGAAAAAACATTAAAAATCAGGAAATTAATAAGGATAACATTTTGAAACTTTAATATTTTCAGAAAAATAAACTACAAAATGACTATGGTAAATTTTTTTGGAAATAAATAATAATTAAATGAAAAATATATTTTTAAATTTTTACTAAAACATTAAAATAAATTAAAACATTAAGCAATTGTAATTCTTATCTCTAAGAGTATTATAACAAAACTAGAATTTTGATATCTACATTATTTTGTGAGATATTGCAATGGATAAATTCTTGTAGGACACCCTGTATATTAATTACAAAAGAAAAATTACTGTAAGGTATACACTCTGTATATCGAATTAAATTAAGTGTTTCATTTAAATTAATAATTTAAGTATGCTCATATCCAAAAGTATAAGAAATTAAGTGGCTTTTATTAATGTATAATAACTGCATACAATTTTAAATGACTAACACGAAATCAAGATAAAATGAAATAAGTAAATTTCATCATAATTCAACCATTTTTAACAAATTTTTTTTGTGCTATTCTAAAAATGATTGAATATATTATTATCTTTCTTAGCAACATCAAAAACATTGCGGCTCAACCTAAACCACAGACTGCTCAAGTGGCTTCTGAAAACGCTCCTAGGCTTCAACACCGAAAGGGAGGACAATACAAAAAGAAGAAGAAGGGAAAATAAACACACAATTTGTTATTAACCAATAAACAAATATGAATATAATATAACATTATATATAATTATATTATAGTATAAATATCAAATTCCATCCAAAATTATTTGTTTAATATAAAATATATTAAATACTTTCTCATCTATCCCGTAACATATTGAGTGACTATAATTTTATAGATTAACATTTGGCTCTAAGACTTTGATTCCATTGTGTTACACATTAATTTCCTAAAACCACCTTTTTTCTTCAACATTTTTGATTCAGGGAGCTGGTACTTTGGTTGCCAAACCACATTTCTGTTTATAGTAATCAGGGTTAGACAAACATTCAATCATAAACTTTCCGAGATCGTATTTGGATATGGCACGGCCAGGCGATGAGCCGACTTCCACACTGTAATCGCCTGACGGAGTACTGCCAATGTGTGGTGGCATCACTGCAATCCAGTTCAGAGATTCAGTCGCCTGTAGTAAATGCAGCATCCGCTCGTGATCGTCGTTGATGCCATGGAACATTGCTGGCACTTTGGGCTTATCGTAGAATAAAAAGGCTGAAATTAACATAGTGTTAACTAGTACAATCAAACAAGTGTGTAACATTATTAAATTGTATAAACAATTATTACTAGATAAGCACACTGATACAATTTTCACATTGTTCTTTTCCATCGATGACAATATGTTTCTCAGCCCATCGGACATTATTGTGGTAGGAGCTGCAAAATTAATTTCATAACTATACAAATATAAAATTAATCACAACTTAACTTTATAGGTACATCAAATTGTTTTATTAAATAATATCATCTTACCCAAGTCATTTCTGGTTCCCAAAGTCACGACAATCGCATCTCTGCCCTCGACTACCTTGTCCACGTCTTCTTTGACCAGAACATCGCCAGTAACCACTTCTACTTGCTTGCGAAGTTCTTCGGGCATACGACTGGGATCCCTAATTAGAGCCCTGACTTCTAGACCTGCACAGTTTAAGTTTTTTTTTTAATACCACGTCAGACATGTTTTTACTAATCTTCGAACAAACAATATTGGAAAACCATCAGCTTTGCAATATTCTAGATCAGTGGGGTAGCGGTCGCTACCGCAAACATTTTTATGGGATCACAAGAGAATTATATTGCTGCCCCAAAAATATTCACTATATATAGCCATCCTTTCAACGGTTTAAACTTTAGTTAAAAAAGGAGCATTTCAATTTAGGTTTTAAATTGCAATATGTTATAAGGATGGGTGGAAGGCCTAAATAGAGTTTTAGATTTTGAGGGCTTAAGCCAGATAATAAATTTTTGTCATAACTAAATTTCATCAATTTCCAATCATCGCGAACTGCCGTGTTTAAAAGGTAATATGGAAAAAAATGTCACAATAATGTTTTTATTGATTTTAGCCTCATAGTCGGGGCTCCTATTTGTGCTTATCGGAGGAAGTGAAGCTGCTTCACGGAAGCATATTATTTTAAAAGTGTTGGCTGCCCCAAACGTTTGCTGTTTAGTACGGCACTGTTCTCGACGACTATTGTCTTACCTTGTTTCAGAGCGGCTTCGACGGTGCACAGTCCTGTCATGCCGGTGGCACCGAAAATCGCGATTTTCTTCATTCTCTCAGACGTCGGTGACGAATAACTACGGGACGACCACCGCTTGATGTACTGACACCGACGGCTGTGAACGAGAGCTGTAACAAGGACGTCGACGAACAGATTGACGATTAAACGATGAGTTGACGGAATCGAAAATATTAATAGGTACCTATGACGAGTTTGACCGTAGAGAAAAAATTAATAATAATAATCACGTTTCGTTTTAACGATATGCATCCGGTCGTCCGACGGTTTTTTTTTTTTATACTCTTATCACTTCGCGTACTTCACGCCCGACACGGCACCGGTGTTATCAATGTTATCATCGTGTTTGCAATTATGTAATTTTTTTGCCTGTCGTTTAATATTTTTATAAAAAAAAAAATAGTTCCGACCGTAGTATTATTATAGTAAGGAATGGATAGACTACGCCGGTGCTCAGCTGCCACTCCTGTACTTTTGTTTGTCTCTCAAAGGTGTCTGAACAATATAGATATCGTAGCCGCCCATAGATAACATAACACACGACAAGGAAARACAAGGCACCTTCATATTATTAAGTTTACTTGAGAACTTATGTGCTAATAATAAATAATGACCTACCAATCCACTCTTTATTGTCTATTTATCTACGATTCCGACCGCTTAAATTGTTTACCTGTACTGACCTGTGAATAGACACATCATATTATTATGAAGTCTTGCGAGTTCGTGAGACGCGATTGTAGACACAATAATATCAAACGACTAAAATATTTTTGTAATTATAATTCTGCGATAATACTCCTTAATTGGACGTGTGTCAATAATTACTATAGAATCTGTAGAATACCATCGATGGCTGCGTGCAAGTAAAATATACGCGTGACTACGACGCTACGTGTTGATTAACCAGAAGGACCGTCAACGTCCTAAAATACTTTTTATAATAATTATATGATATGATGTGTGATCGTCACACTGTCAAATAGGTACAGAGATTTGAGGATCTCTGGTCGTCTCAGCGACTCAGCGTAAAGAAAAATTCGAAATTATTGATTCAGTTAATAGTGACACTTGTTGACGGCCATCTCAATATAATATATTATACCTATTTTACTTGTTTTTTAATTTTCCGATCCGATTTAAAAAATTTATCTAGACWGTTCACGACATCGGTAAGCTACATATGTTTACCAAAAGAAAAAAAATTTTCAAAATCTTATAAGATTATAAGTAGGGACAAAATAGAAAATCGTTTTTCAAGGCATGATTATGTTAATTAGATTTTAAARGAGTATAGGACTTATAGGAGCGTATTTTGACCGTCCAAATTTGGCATCTAAGTCGAGATTAATACGRATAATATGATTATAATACAAAYTTTGGAAATTGTTARTTTTTTTTGAAATTAATGTCGATGACTTGTTAATGGCCACTTCAATACAGTATAATATTTTTGTTTTTTGCATTTTATTTTAATACTATAATTTTATAAATTTTCATATCATCGAAACGTATCATTTTTTTWAAATTAACTTAACATTTAGTTTATTTGAAAAAAATATACTTACCTTACTATGATTCATATTATCTTTGTGAATTATTAATATTTATTTTGACGATGGAAAATCACGTATTATACAAATAGGTATTATATAGGTATAGTKTACCAATGATATAGATAGCGACCTATTGGCATAATGGCATGTAAAATATTTTAAACTCTTTTTAAATTATTTGTGCTATGCGAGTTTGCTCACCACATATTCTACACGGTATGTCTGTAATTCAGTAACGACATGAGTTAATAACCAATATTATTATAACTATTTTATCTTTTACAACCATGAAGGTCAACAACTGTTATAATAATAAAAATACGAGTAAAAATATTAGATTTTCGTTTACCGATACAAGAAATCCTGTGTGAGCCGGTCTTTAAAATGCGAATTCTTTCGATCCCTTCTTATTAAACATCTTGCAAACACTATATAATATAGTATATATTCAAAATAGTTTGGATAAACTATCGTACATATTGCTACGTTACCATATTATGGTATTTTAAATAATTTCTCTTTCAGATAGGTATCCAATTCCGACCGAATAGCGTCGATGCACATATCGATGTTTTGAGTTTTCTATTCTATTTCGAGCAACTTACTTACGTTTTTTCATTTTGATTATATTATATATAATACATAAGTATTTTGTTTGCCAATTGAATGGTGCGCGAGAACGACAAAAGTGTCTTATTTTAGTTATTAGATTCTGAGCGGAGTGATGAATGTATTGATTTTACCATGATGTGTTTTTTTTTTT